GGTGGTGCACACCTGTAATCCCAGCACTCAGGAGGCTGAGGCAGGAGGATCGCTGTGAGTTCAAGAACAGCCTGAGCTGCACAGTGAGTTCCAGGTCAGTCTCAACTACATAGTGAGACCCTGTCTCAAAAAACCCCCTCCAAAAAAGACCTAAATTAAGGTGACTCTCGCATACCACATTACTGAAGATTGAGGACTTGTAAGGCCACACTTTGACAATAGGAACAGATAACATGATATATGGAAATACTAACGCTCTGTGTATATCTGTTGAACAGATAGTAGCTGCTAAATGTTGGCAATAAAACCATTAAAAAGTTAGATATGGGCTTTTCTTTCCTTAGAGAACTGAAGAGTCTAGGGGGAAGAAGGCAGTAATAATACTTATAGTGGGCCATTATAGCAAGAAGAGCATATGAATTACTGCAGCCTGGGCTCAGATAAGGCAGTCAGGGCAATCTGGGAATGGGGCTATTCTCCTCATGAGGCATTGGTGATACTATTGTTATTGTTGTTTCTTATACATCCTAATTGGTTTTTTTTTTTCTGTACTGAAAATTGAACCCAAAGCTTTCATACTACATCCCAGTCTCTTTTTAGTTTTTATTTTTGAGATATGGTGTTGATAAGTTGTCCAGGCTGGGCTCCAGTTTGCAATCCTCCTACTTGCCTCCTAGTGTTGGGATTACAGGTACACACTACCATACCCTGTTAATGTCACAGTCTTTAAGTATATAGCCGATTAGTTAAAAATATGATATTTGCCTTTGCAAGTTTATTTTGTAGTATTTAATTTTCAAAGAAAATGAAGTAAAGGAATATATTCAGTACTTGAAAGATTCAGGGGGAAAAAAGACACATGAGATATTAGCCAACATTTAATAAATTAATAGGAAGTATCACAAAAACCTGCAGTGGATAACATACAAGAATCAAAAATAAGACAATATTTTGCAACCATTCACAAAAAGTACCATTTGACAAAGGAGAAGAATTACAAGAAATAATATAAGGCAGTCTGTTGCACGAGTCATATATATATGTGTATATATATATATAAATAGTACGTCAAAATGATTTGTTTGACAGTAAATTCATAACATTTACATTTATCACATGGACTTTTTTAAAACATTTATAAAAGTTTGTATATTTAACACTCGACTGTTAGATTTATATCCAAATGGGTATATTTGTTTCATAGCAAACTGCACAGAACTTATGAATAGCACACAATTTGAGAATAATTACTGTGTTGGGTACTATTAAGTACTACTATTTGATGACATAAGAATTATTAACAAATGTGCTATAAGCTATTACCATTCAACTTTTTTCTAGTGCTTCTGGAAAACCATCATTGTTATTTTACTTCTCTGTAAAACATGTGCTATGAGCTTGCCCTGATAGTTAAGAAATCAGATGTTTCCAACTTTCTCTAATACTCACAATGTTTCAGGTCTGAATGTGTGGTCTTTTTCAGGACTGCTGAGGGATTTTCTTCAGTCCTTTTTATACCAGCTACTCTGCCATACATTAATACAAATCAGAGGATTCATGCAACATACAGAGTGTACATGCAGGACACCATCTGTATGTGCAGAACTCATGCTAAATGCATGCTGTGTTTCATCAGACATTTTCATCTCATTAGGAATTAGATCATCTCATTCAATTTCAGGTACTTGTTTTAACATACAGCTCTGACCTAACAGGCAGGTAGACTTTACTTTCGTGTTATATTTGGGCATGCTCAAGCAATCGGCTGGCTATTTGGCAGTGTTGTAGATCACAAAGAGACTGTATGAGTTTCCTCAAATACAGCCTTTCTCCCACTGCCTGTGTGGCAGACTGTTGGACTTATCTATGCTGTGTGTTGAGGACACAGACCAGGGGTCTTAGAACTTTAGATTCTGCAGTCACCAAATTTAAGATACTAACAAGCACACTCTGAAGTGCCTAAGTAACTGTCAGGAGTAAGAAATAGCATCATGAATTCTTTGGAAATTTTATCCACAGTAAAATGGACACACACAGAACACTGGAAACACATGTATACTCTTCACACAGCATAGACTTAATGGTCTCACTTTAGCAAAGCTTGAAAATTTTTTACAGTTTACAAACTATTAAAATGATGCTTAATTCTTGGAGAGGAGCAGGCCTGCAAACGACACAATGGCCAATACTTATTTTAACACAACACTATATTTAACAAATATTTAAGTTTCTGGTATGTAATTGCAGTACAAAGAAGAGCTTGCCACTTTTTACAAATTAGCTGCAGCCTTCTCCTTCACTAGAGAGTTTGGAAGGATCTGAAAATGAGATAAATTTTGTTTAAAATCCAAATGGAAACTCTGTTTCTGTTTTTCCTAGAGTGCAGTAAAAGTGATTTTTAAATTTCTTTCTTTTTCCACATTCTAAGGGCCTAAATTGGTAGTCCTTAATCAAGTAAAACTTCCAAAGTTTTTGTCATCTACAAGTCCTGCACAAGTTTTACTCAAAAATGGACTGCTAAATTGGGTCCTATAGATAGAGGTAACATAATTAAGAAAATGTTTTAATATGGCTCAAAATGCTAATTTCACTTTGTGTGTAACCCATGAATTTCCAGAATTCTTAGATCAAAACCCAATTGATGTTGAATCCTGGATTGGGAAATAACCCTGGGATCTCAATTTCCCAGTTTAGTCATGGAATTAGGTATTTACTAAGGACCAGAATGAAAACACTAATTCCAGTTTGCTTGTCATAATAATCAGAATTTAACATTGTCCTTAAGAAGTGAAAAGCTGTTGGTATGTAGATTACTTTATTATCCTTCCACTTCTGTAGTCCCGGTTGACTAGCTGCTATGTTAAAATAACATTATGTTTGGGGACAGACATTGCAGCAAAATACCAGCACAAGATTCTGACAATGTCAAATTTTGTCCCTATAAGTAACAACAAAGCGAAGTACTGCCTGACTCACTGATGGATGTTTCACGAGGCAGAACCTATCTTACTGTGTTTATGTGTGTAGATAAGCAGAGCAAGAATTTACAGTGCATATTTACTGTTAATCTTGAAAAAGATTCCACATAATTTGTCAATTTAGGTGTGGTTGAAGCGTCACCACCGCAATGTGCATACTCTGCAGATGCCACCTGAGATGAACATTAACTTTCTGAGGAAGAGGGAGTGACGGAAAAGGTGTGGTGAGAGAAGAAGGAAGGAAGGGAATAAAAACAAACACTTTATCCATCAAAGACTCAAAATAACTTAGTCTCCATCTATTATAAACAGTAAATATAGAACCCTAAACCTCACTATTGTAAGCATGATTGTAAAGTACAGGGTTGCAAAGCTATATATAAAAACACTGTTTCAGACAGCACTATTTACAGTAGTTGTGACCCACGGAAGGTTAGATTTTCCTACCAGTGTAGCTTCCCTGGAAGAAGACTGTGCTGCTCTGTCTTACACACTGCTAATCCTTTCACTAACAACATTGGAAGGGTTTACTGGTAGCTCTAAATTCTCCACCTGCATCTCTATACCGGGCTCGCTCTCCTTGGCTTTCCTAACCATGGGCTCATTCGTATGCCGGTAAATGTTAACATTAAGCTCCCTCCCAGACAAAGAAGTGGCAGCGACTCTCGATAACGGTATCTGTCGGACAGGAGGCTTTTTGTCGGGCTTATAGTTGCAGCGCAAATAGTTGGAGAAAGCCCTGCGGTAAATTTTGTTGAAGAGCGTGTACACCAGAGGATTAATTCCCGAACAAACATAGCCAATCCAAACAAACACATTCAGAAGCTTTTCCATAAGCTTTTGATTACAGGCTTTCCCACACAGAACCGACAGAATATTGGTAATGAAGAATGGGCACCACATGACCAGAAACACAAAGAACACAATGCCAAGGACTTTCGATGCTTTCTTTTCATTGTTGATAGCCTGCATGGTGCCCCGAGGACGTCTTTCTTTCTTCTTTTTCCGGCGCGGGTTCCCATCTTGGTTAGGGTTTGCTGGATTCTCTTCATCGTCCGTATTCCTCTTGCAGCACTTCAGAAAATTCAGGCTTGGGCCGAGTGGTTCCTCGATGTGGCCTCGCAGCAGCATCAAGGCTTGTCTGCGCAGGACGTAGATGGTCAGGAAATACGTGATCACCATGATTGTCAGAGGGATGAAGAACGCCACGAAGGACCCGATCAGCACGAAGTTCGGGTCATTGAGCACGCAAGTGGTGTTATTCGCAAACACTTTGTTTTCATCCCTCAGTCCAATCACTGGGATGGGCACTGACACACCTAAAGGAATAAGAGGTGGGACCGTGTTATACCACGTGGAAGGACTGGACAAATTGTACATTGCCATACATTTGCTTGCATTTTCCTGAAAGCAACTTAGACTTGATGTTTGTTGAAAGCAATTCACAGCATAGTTGATAGCCACTTGAAACAGCAGCAGTATGATACAAGAAAATGGTGGCTCTTTTCCTCTTAGGAATGGCTTTTCCCTACATTTCTGAAAAAGGCATGTAATCACCAGTATTGTGATATTAGAGAACCGGTTGTATTTGACAGGGAATTGAGTGTTTTGCCCTATTTCCAGTTCCTAGAATTATCCCTGCTCATAGGAGGCTCTCAAGAAGTATTTGCTGAGTCAAAGAATAAATTCACCTCTTTCCTTAATGACATTACTAAAGTCATTTTTTAGCAAAAGTCTTCCAAATTCAATTAAAATGATACCCAAACCACCTATAATAGAAATAATAGCCAATGAAAGTTGACTGTGTTGTGTCTGACAGTTATGCAAAAATAACCTATAACCAGAAACTGAAAGGATTTTTTAAAGAAAATTTATTTTTATTAATGTATTTATTTTGTTTCTGGGAATAAGCAACACTATTTCAAGGTCAAGAGACAGAAGGAAGGGCAGGGTAAGCTCAGCGGTAAAGCAAGTGGAGGAGCAGGGGGCCTTGAGTTTCATTCCTAGCAGGAAGAAGAAAGAAAGAAAGTAAGAAAGAAAGAAAGACAAAACAAATTAAAAGGGCTGGGGGAGTAGTGAAATGCTGAGCTGAGGGAGAGATAGTTGTCTTATTTAATGTGAAATTTTGAGTATTTTTTTTTAAAAGAACATTGATGAAGCTCTTCTTTTAGTAAACAGGCTAAAGGGGGAAATTATTGAGTAGGTAGAAGCTGATTTTGTGTACAAGCTTATCTGGAAACCTCCCGGAAACTTCCAGAAGTAACTATGGTAGATCTTGAACAGTTCAATAAGCATTGATAAGCAAGGATGACTTGCAAATGAAATTTACATTTTAATGTTAAGTTGAAGCCTCCACGCATTCAGATTACACTGTGGCTTCCATCAGAGATGATTAGGAATCCTGGATTGGTGGGCAGCCATAGCATGAACTGGGAGAGCAGACAGAAGTGAGCTGTCACAGATCTTTGCTGACTTTAGGGAACACACAAGGAACTGTGTGAGGAACCTGGCAATGATGGAAAGGCTCTACTTGACATCTGAACTCCTAGCCAGATATAGAGTATTTGATTGGATGATCAAGATGGAAAAAATGTTCAATGTTTCTTCGCTAGAGCTTGCTGAGGGTGTTGACTGCTCTTTAATCCCTGAGAAGATATAAGGAAGAAAGAATTGTTGACAAATGACTTTTAAATCTTCTTCTTTGGACACTGAATTTGTAATACAAAGGGTCTTTTTCTAGAAAAGCCAAGTGACAGTGAGAAGCAGCAACAAATATGACAAGATTCCTTTGGGTATTATTGCATGCCTGCCCATAACTCTGAGTTAGGTATCCTGTTCAAGAAAGTAAGAACGGCAGGGCAAAACTTAGAGACACTACAAACAGAAAGTCTCCTCAAGCAGGGCACTGTCCACCCTAGTGAGAAGACCTTTGAACTCTGACTGGGAAGAGTAACAAGGGTCAAGAGGGGAAGAGAGAAGATAATTCTTGCTCAAGTTTGATGAAGTGCTTAGAACTTTAACAGGTCCTTGGGGATATAGAGTGCAGCAGAACCACATAGTTTATATTTCTTAAGAGTTAAAAATGACAGGCGGGAAAGCTACCAACTGGTATTATAAGAACCTATGTTCAAAAAAAAAGAAGCCCTAAAAAGAGTGTAAATCAAGTTTATAGCAAAGAAGAGTCAGTACTGGCTTTTTTTTTTTTTTTTTTTTTTTTTTTTTTTTTTTTTGGTTTTTTGAGGCAGGGTCTCACTGTGTAATTGAGAATGACTTAGAACTCACTGTGTAGCCCAAGCTGGTCTTGAACTCACAGCGATCCTCCTGCCTCAGCCTCCCAAGTGCTGGGATTATAGGTGTGCACCACTGAGTCCGGCAGTACTGGCTTACCCTTAATGAAATGATTTGATGAAGGGTTAAGTAGCTAAAAGTATTCTGGAGCTAAGGAAACTAATATAGGATTAAGAAAAAAAAGAGTTGGGGATATAGCTCAGTGGTAGAGCAGTTATCTAGCATGTATGGCCCTTGGGTTTGATTCTAGCACTGAAAAAAAAATGGAGAAAAGGGATTCATAATATAAAATTTTTTACAAGAGAAAAGGTTAAAAGGAGAGCCTACAAATTAAGACACACTTAGAAAGAGCTGTCAAATAATCACACCATGTGGACCAGTTTGGGATCTTGATGTAAACAAATTTTTAATAATATTCATGATACAAATAGAGATTTGAATAATGACTGCCCTTTCAATGTTATTAAACCACTATTGCACATTTGCTTTCAGGTAAAATATTGCTACTGTGCTTCTATAGAAAGCTGGATTTTATATTTTCTGATACACATCCTAAGATGAAGTATTATGGTGTGAGGAATTTATTTCAAATAATATTGGAGGGGGCCAGGGATTTAGTTCAGTGGTGCCGTTGCCTGCCTTGCAAGCTCAAGGTCCCGAGTTCAATCCCCAGTACTGAAAGAAAAAAAGTCAAATAGTATGGGAGGAAGAAGTAGTTGAGAATATGGATGATAGAAAACGGTCCATAACTTTTTTGTATGCTGGATCTGGATGATGAGTACATGAAATTTTATTACATAGTTTTACCTTTGTTATTGTTGATAGTTTACATTTTAAAAGTTTAATAATTTTAGGAAATTTAAAAAATGAAAAGAAGACATAGAAGTGCTTTCTAAAATAAACTAAAGCATGTCTGTTAAGACTTCAGATAATGGGGCTGGGGATTTAGCTCAGTGGTTCTGCTGCCTACCTCACAAGCACAAGGACCTGAGTTCTATCCCTAATACCAAAAAAAAAAAAGACTTCAGATAAAGACAAACAAACATTAAAAAAAAAATCTCCAAGACTTTGGAAATGATCTAATGGAAACATTCAGCACTTTCATATAATTGCAAAGAAGGCAGCTATTTTCAGATAAATGTTTATAGAAACTCTTACATCTTAAATCTTCTCAGGATGCTCCAGCGAGGGGAGCAGAAGGCCCAGGGTAGGTGATTCCCTTGCTCTTCCCTTCTCTCTTTTCACTCCCAGCAGTATGGTAAGGAGCCTGAGGCTAGAAACTCATCTAGAAATCTACCTTCACTCTGGAGTCATCCTGACTGAGGTAGGCCTACTTAGATTTAGAGACTGAATGTCCCACAGGAAATGCTGTGCAAACTTCAAGGTATTCTTAGTGACCTCTGAATTCTGGGGAAAGACTCACTCTTGGGCTGGAAGATCAGAGAAGGTCAGCGTTACACACAGTTTAGCTCTGGTGTAGTGTTGGCTTTTTTCTTGTTTTGTTTTGTTTTTTTGGTGGTACTGGAGTGAACCCAGGGCCTTCATACTTAGGTACATCCTTACCCCCCACAAAAAAACATTTTAATTATTTGTCACTAAATCACTAAATTGCCCTGGCTGGGTTCAAACTTGTGATCCTTCTGCCTCATCCTGCTGATGTGCTGGGATTACAGATGTGTGTTACCATGCCTGGCCACTATCTTGTATTTGTTGAAAGATTTATTCACTTTCCAAGCCTCAAAACTGACCTTGTCAAGGGACAACAGCAAAGGAGTATAGAGTCACTGTAGGTGAGGTGAAGATGTTATTGGATATTTGAGGCAAATTTTATCCCTGACATCTGTTTTATAATTTATATAAATCGAAGTAAGGGTGATTCTAATAGATGCCATTTATTTGAGTCTATCTTCTTTGCCAAGAACTGAGCCATATGTATTATGGAATATTCAGTTGTAAAATGTGTTATCAATTTGGTTAAAATCTCTGCACAACAGATATTATTTGGTGAAGTATTTTAAACACTTTACCAAATGTGTACCATCATACATTTTGTTTCAGAAACTATGAATGCAGTCAACAAACAAGAATTTAAAATTTTTTGAGAATGTCATATTATTATTATAATGACCACAAAACAACATTAAGAACAATATATCATGCACAAACTATCTTATTCAATACCTTAAAAATTCAAACTTCTCAACATTTCTCAAAGTGTGGTGCAAGGACCCTGGTAGACTCTGACTTTTAGATTTTTAGGTTTCCCTTTCCAAACTCTTTGTCCTTAAAACTGTATTTTTTAATAAATGTCAAGTCAAACTATGTTATCATAATAGGTTGAATATACATATGTGACAATCTAGCAGTCATCGCATCAAATTAAATATTAAAGAGATATTCAAAGATATAAAAAGATGTCTGTTTTCTTTCTGATTTGTTTGAAATTACAGTTACCCTTTATAAAAATGTTACTTATCTAACACTGAATGGGCTTATTATTGTTACTGAAAATAAAATGATTCATGAAAATTTTAAACATTTAAAAAGTTTTTAATTTCTAATACCACAAATATCACTAGATACAACGCATTCGCAGCCCTCATTTATTTCCAACTGTATAATGGGGTCTTGACACCAAAGAGTTTGAGAAATGCTGTTCTATATTAATGGATGAAATATTACTATATTAGTATTATGAAATAATACTTATTAATAAATATTACTATATTTATGAAATAATACTTAGACCCTGAAGAGTTAATCTGTAAAACATCTAAAGTGTTCCGTAGCATTTTTAGTTCAACTAGTAGTAATTCATATGCTATTATAATGTCAGATAAATTTAAGCAACAGCAGTACTAACAATAAAACTCTTTAAATGCATTATCTCACACATTTTCATAAAATTTCTAAGTCATATTATTTGGTGAAGTTAACCTCAGAAAAGTTAAGTAAATTTAGCAAACCAGACAATCTTTGATATTTTTTACATCTTTAATTTGGCCAAGAAGAAAAATGGAAATGATCTGCC